CACACGTTTTGACACTTTTGACTCGAAGCCCGCAAAGTCGGAACAAAGCTCATGGGAAATGAATAAATTATCTCTGTGAGTGACGTTGAAGCCAGTAAAATGTTTCAAAACTTCATACCAGATAAATAGATTTTTTTCTTTCAGAAAATCTTAACTTACTTCCTCAATTTATGGGAAACCTGGTTTAGAAAACTGAATTCTAATTTTCTGGGCTATTTTTGATCTATCTTCAGAAAGAAAACACACGTTTTGGCGCTTTTGAATCCAAGCTCACGAAGTCGGAACAAAGTTCGTGTGAGATGAATAAATTATCTCTTTGAGTGACGTTGAAGCCAGTAACATGTTTCAAAACTTTACACCAAAAGAATAGATTTTTTTTCTCATAGAAAATCTTCATTTACTTCTTTAATTCCCAGGCAATCACTTTTAGAAACTGAATTCTAATTTTCTGGGCAATTTTCGACTTAAATTGAGAAAGAAAAGACACGTTTTGGCACTTTTGACTCCAAGCTCACAAAGTCGGAACAAGGTTCATGTGAGATGAATAAATTATCTGTGTGAGTGACGTTGAAGCCAGTAAAAGGTTTCAAAACTTCATACCAGATAAATAGATTTCTTTCTTTCGGAAAATCTTAACTTACTTCCTCAATTTATGGGAAACCTGGTTTAGAAAACTCAATTCTAATTTTCTGGGCTATTTTTGATCTATTTTCAGAAAGACAACACACGTTTTTGCACTTTTGACTCCAAAGCTCACAAAGTCGGTACAAAGTTCATGTGAGATGAATAAATTATCTCTGTGAGTGACGTTGAAGCCAGTAAAATGATTCAAGATATCACTTCAGATAAATACATTTTTTTCTCACAGAATATCTAAATTTACTTCTTCAATTTCTACGCATCTAGTTTTAGAAGACTTAATTCTAATTTTATGGGCAATTTGTGACGTATATTGAGAAAGAAAACACACGTTTTAGCGCTTTTGACTCCAAGCTCACAAAGTCGGTACAAAGTTCATGGGAAATGAATAAATTATCTCTTTGAGTGACGTTGAAGCCAGTAAAATGTTTCAAAACTTTATACCAGATAA